ACGGGCACAAATGTTGTTTCAGGTTGTTTCAATTTGCAGAAAATAAATCTTCAAAGAACTTCAGCTTTCTTATTTTGTCTTAAGTCTTTGTTTCAAATGATTTTTATAACTGTGTCATATAGAAGAGCTTCTGAGTTCTGCCCTTTATCGGGGCGCAAAATCTAATATAAGAGTGAATAATAAGCCCACAGTGAGGAATCTGACAGGAGCAGTGAAGACCAGAGAAGGCCTGGAGGTCTGAGGACCGTGATCAGTCCAAACATGCCAACATGGACTCCTGTCATGCACGGGGCTGTTTAGGGGTTTGACAGGTCGAATATAAGTGACCAGAAAGATTTCAGCTTCAGAAGGACTAAAGCTGGTGAGCGATTGTGTTATTTCTCACTAACAGGGATCAGGGTAGAGATGATGGATTTGGCATCATAGGTTCTACATACACGCTTCAGACCCGAGCTGTGTCCCGTCCAGAACGTCCTGCCACAGCCGGGGTCCAGTCCGCTCAGAGTTCTATTTGCTACTGTGCTGGCTTTACAAACGAACAAGAGGAATGAATGTGGTGAAGAGTCAATGCATCCGCTAGAGACTGAGCCTCAGTTCCCTGAGTTCAGCAGAGGTCAGGTCACGACCACTGAGCCGTGCTCATCTGGGTCAGCCATCTCTAAATGACATGACCTGGACCGCTGTGTGGGCTTCCTCCTCATTCCTCCTCTTTGGTGAGGCGTATATTATACACATTTATACCGTGTTTACCTTCAGTTTCTGGAAAGTGAAAAACATGGAGCTGATGTGATGCAGCACACAGCAGACGACACGTGATCCGTTTGGGTTACCGACTGATACCGACACATCACATCAGTCACATTTCATTTATGCTGGAGGCAAAAAGCTCTTCTTATTCCTCTTTAGGACATTACACCATAAAGTTGTTCAAATACCATCATTAGGCTTCATCTGGTCTTCAGTGTTCGCTACGTTTAGCGTTAGCGGTCCTCTGGCTAATTCTAGCTTTGGCTGTTAGGTCTCACATGCTGCTGCATGAAACGCTGCTTCCATCCTCCTCCGCCTGTTGCCGTCCATGGATGTGATGGTGCATGTGAAGGATGAGAGAGATGATGTTTCCCACCAGAAGGCAGAAGATAGATTTAACACATGCTTACATGTTAATGAGTAACGCTCGCAGTGTGGCTCCAGGGACGCCAACGTCTGTCTGCTGATTCCCCACAAACACAGGAACCAGTATTGAATATATTACTGGGAAATCAGGCTGATGCTCAGAGAGGGAAGTTGGGATTCTTGTAACTTATCTCCTTTTCCAACAGAGCAGCCGTTCCTTCTCCCTCTTTGTGTGATGAGCCTGGCTGTGGTATGGAAACCAGTAACCCTGTCCTGGATCGCTGTCTGGACCTCGCTCAGCCTGTGTCCCTGTCTGCTCCTCCTCCATCCGGCCTCTTGTCCTGACTGATTGGACCGGTACTTCAACGTTGTGCTCCAATCAAGCCGCGCCCGTCAGCACAGCGCCCGTCCAAAAGCCCGGCCCGACCGTCGCTCTGGGCAGCAGTGATTGTGGCTGTGCCAAAAAACTTGGTCCACTGCAGACACGAGACTGGTTTGTCACCGGATGCTGGGACAGGTTCAGGGTTTGCTACGAGCTCATCTCGTTAAATTGTAAGTATACATGTTTAGACACCAGGTCCAGGGGCGAGACTCCCTCCTGTAGTCTGTGTTGGTGGAGGATATGTAGTTGCAGAAGCCCAGGACTTTAATCTGAAGTTCTTCTGTTGCTACCAAAGGTTAGGAAAGTGAAACTCAAACTTCTGTTTCAAAGACCTCAATTTGTTGGTGTCATTTCTTTTGAGTATCATCAACCAGCTTTCTGATTCATAGCAGTTACATGAGTTAGTTACATAACAGTAGGGATGTCCAGATCACGCTGGTTTGGTTCTGATCCAAACTGAGTCAGTTCATATTTGTACCCATGTTGGTAGATGGTAGATGAGAAGATGGCAGACAGGTTGTAGACCAGCTGAAGTACCTGGTTGTGCCCGTTGCTGATAACAGCTAGCGCTGTGTGGGTTCAGCTAAAGTCTTCTTCTGACCTCTGGCCGGGTCGGGGTTGACTGAAGAGGGAACGGACCAGGACAGCAGTACCATGTACCGGTGCACACATGGTGGCTGTGCGGCCCGAATGATGAACCTGCAGCTGGAAACAGCCCGGCCAGCGTGGACGTGTCCAGTGTGATCATTGATATTATAAATGAATCAACTCTTTACTGATGACGCTGCATCGTTTAGGAAAACTATTCAAAATGACTTCACCTGTATGAAAAACAAAGGATGTTTGGTTTGTGTCGATACCAGTCATACAGAAACTGCTTTGACCTGCCCGGATCAGGATCGTCTACACGTTGACCAGTACCGGTCCGGTTCTGTGTCCTGCTGCTGGACACTGTCTGCTAGCTTGCCATGAACTTCACTGATTTGTCTGAAACAGCACTTCTTCAGTACGGTGAAGAAACAGGAAGTCTTATAAAAGCCTAACGTTTGTGTTCCCACTCTGTCTTCTTCATCGTCCTCTTCACTGCTGTAGTGAAGCTTCTCTGAACATGTAAATGCATCCAGACACACATGCTGACTGACAGACAGTAATAATGTCTGCATCTTTCATCTTGGTGCTGAGAACAGACAGTAAATAGTTCCTGTTTAAACTGTCTGCCCTGAAGTCCTGCTTTGCATCCTGTATATTTGGAACGCTGTGTATTTGTGACTCTGCACCGCTGGGAAAAGAACAGTTTCTTCAGCAAAGCCGCCCCAGACTGCTCATTAAACTGTCTGCTGCATTTTAGAGGAGATGAGGGGCGCTGATGTGATTGGTCATTACTGGGGGCCGTCCCACCTCCACCTGATGCTTCTGCAGTCTCCCCACAGCAGAGCATTCATCCTGCTTCACAGCTTCTTGTTTATGGCATGAGGATGTCAGTCGTCTGAGTGAATCCGGTGGGAACAGTCCAGAGTGACCAGAACCTTGTGAGAAGCTGTTTGTGTGTCATAAACTGCACATATAAGCAAGGAAGATGTTCAATGTTCCCAAAACAAGACCTCCAGCAGACTCAGACGTCTGGTTACCCGGCTGGAGCCCTGGAGCGTCATAACGCGTTGGACAGAAAGTACTGAAGAAGTTTATCTGCCTCCATCAAAAACAATGATGTTTTAGGTTCAGTTTGTTTTATTTCTGTGGGTGGCACACGATGGAGGCCAGCGCTGGTAGTGTTGGATAGAAAACGTACCATGTTGTAGCGCTGGCGCACATTCAGACAAAATCCAAAGAGGTGCAGCGTCTGTTTCCCTACAAGCTCATGAATAATGCTGAGTACGTCTAAACAGCTAACTATGAATGTACTCTTTCCACTTCTCGTCTAAGCATCCTGCTCACCTGAGAGTCAGAGTGACGGCCAGACAGCACATCTACAAGTGTTTACGTGTTGCTGTCAACACGGCACAAGTCTGAACAGCAGTCACGTTAACAGATATGTATTCAGACTACGATGTACTCTGAGCTCAGTGAAGCGACCTGGAGAAGCTCTTCTACACATTTCAGCAGCAGTAATGGTCCAAAAACATCACATGTGCAAAACCTGCAGGCTGCTGGTGGCAACACTGAGGTTTCATTTGCCCTGGACAGGACTGTCCAGGGCAGGGTGTCCTCACTGGGACGCCAACCAGAGACCTTCTAGCTGTGAGGCGCTAACGGTGCTAACCACCGAGACACCTGCAGCCCACAAACCAAAATGTTGTAAAATCATGTTTCTGACAAAGTGTTGACAGCAGCTGAAGTTTGCTTTGTTGCTTTCAGCTGTGGGAGGATCTTTCCTCTGAGTTTATCATGTACCTGCAGCATCAGTCTGTCACAGTGCTACTGAGTCTGCTGGAAACTTGAGTTTCAGCCATGTTTCTAGACAATGGCTGCAGGTTCATAAATCTGTTGAGTCAGTCAGATTTGGTGTCCTTTAAATGTGCCTCCAGTGGAGGAACACAACTCCAGGAAGTCTGAGCGCTGCACCACAGAGCCAGCATGGTCACTGTCACTAATGTTCCTTCATCCTCAAACCTTCTGGTTGTTCAAAGGTTTACATTAACAAATGTGACAGACAGACTTTTTTTGGGGAAAATAGCTGCTAAACTGAACAAACTACCAAAGGACGTCGGTGCCACAAATAAGCATTAAAATGCAATAATAATGGGATTTGTCAGTGTGTGTTTATGACGTCCATACCTTGTACTAGCAGCCGTGTGGTGTGAATGGCCTCTCCCTGGGGGCTGAAGGCTCGACACGTGTAGGCCCCGCGATCCTCCCGGGTGATGGATAGCACCGTCAAACTCCCATCGGACACCTGGACGCACACAAACTCCAGTTTCATGGGCCGGACATTTGACTCTTTTAACACACAGTAAAAATGTCCTTCTATATTGTAAATAATCTTTTTATAGTTATATAGTTTATAGTTGGAGAGGCATCGTTTCTTTACTCATTTATGACTTTAATACACCTCAAACATCTTAAACCGTTTTGTTGCAGACAGAAGATGTCAAATCTTTGGAAAATGCAGGACATTCCCTCTGAGTGGATGAAAGTAGAAACTACAGGGAGGACACTTCATCCAGACTGAACGGCCACTGAACACACTCTGGACAACATTTCAACAGCACAACACAAAGCAGAATTAAAAGAAGGGGAAATAAAAACCACGGTGCCATTAACAGGATGATCCACATCGAATAAAGGAAGTTAAAGTGTGTGAAGGAAACGAAGCCACAGACACAAGCAACCAGCAGAGCTTCATGTTGGCGGTTAACATTTGGACACATGGATGATCAGGACGATGCTTCCATCTGTGTGTAGCTGAAAGCTGCTTATTTGGTTTTGACTGGAGGTACGACGTGCTGGGTTTCTGTCCTTCAGGCATGAAGCTGAGGCTGTCAGGTGGTTTACCAACTAGCAGAAGCAGCATTTTAACACCTAAGCCAGTGTAGAGAGTTAAGGATGGGTTTAAATGGAGCTGCAGCTCTGAATGCTGTCGAGCTGTTGGTGAACGTTGTTTCTGGGACGAGCCGAAGGCAGACGGCTGGAATAGTCTTTCCATCCACCCAGAAACAAAAGCATGAAGGAGTTTCTCTACAGCTTGTCTGCACACAGGACCTCTGCTGCTTCTTTGAGGTGAAACGTTAAATTCTGCTTTTATTCTGGGTCCTTCCATCAGCATCATCTGTCAGCTCGTGTCTTTACATCCACACTCGTCCCTGTTCTGAATCATCCTGGATTTAAACAGATCCAGGGTCTGATGTCTGATGAGTGATATCGCTGGACTGTTCCAACAACATCCACGTTCATATGTGTCTCTAATCCATCCACACCACACATAATCTCAGACATGTGTGTGCTTAAGACCAGCTATTATCTGGCCATGTTTTGTTACACAATAATGAATGAGTTCTGTGTATTTCCTGAGCCGTACATCTTTCACAGCTCATTTGGAGACGACACCAAGAGAGCGGCTGTCAGAGCGTCTGCTTTACAGCACAAAGGTCTGAACAACGTTCACACACTCATGAACTCAACACCAAACTAAACTATGACTGAAACACACACTCGGTGCTTCAGAGTGTCAGACGGCTGATGAGTTACGTTTTGAATCATAAAGCATCCGTTTGCATCATCAGGTCATTTTAAGTGTCTTACTTTTGTTGGACTCAGTGATTTGCTGACTTCATGTTTGAGCTGTTGACACACCGGTTACACCAAACAGCAGAAGTGTGTCCGCCTCTGCATCATGGAAACGATTCAGACGTGAGCCTCACAGCTAGAAGGTGGTTGGTTGGTGTGATGGACAGACGTGTTCATGCTGCTGTGATCTGGATTTCTTTCACGTATTTTGGAGTCACGAGGTCAAAGAGTTGCATTTTACAATCTGTTCACTCGATGCAAACCTCCACATGGACTCTAAGCAGCACCCAGAGCTGTGTTCACATCCACACACATGAAGAACATCACATCAAAACCAAAGCCTCATGTGAGCAGATCTACAGGTTCCTACAGCTGCTGGTCGTTCTATAGAAAAACCCACTATAGCGGTTGTGACTTGGGAAAAGGAACAAATCTAGATAGAACTCTCCCATGAACAAAGCTCAGTCATTTAAATAATTGATCTGATGTGGGGGAGTGATTTCCATCCCTACATTCAGCAGTCACATACTGAGCAGTGTACATTACTCACACTCATGCAACACCTCCTGTAGCTAAAGCTAAACTCTGTCCTGTTGTGTGTGAAGGTTGATGAAGACCTCACTGTGCTGTCACACCTAAACGCTGGAGGTACGAAGGTGAGGCTCACATGCAGATCAGTGTGAAGTAGCTGCAAAATGGGAATTATTAAAAATGAAATGTAGAATTAATTCTTAAAGGTATCAAGCCAACACGTCCAGAGGAGACGTGAGCACAGTGCTGCAGACATGGTGTGGTTTTAAATGCTCAGATGCCACTCACAGGTGTGACCAGGTGCTCTTTCATTCTGTTGGCTTGCTGCAGGAAGTCGTGGGGAGTCGAGCAGAGGCACCGTGAGCATGTGCAGGAAGCAGGTCACAGGCTGCACACAACTCAGTGAGTGAACTGGTTTTTACCAGAGAGGGCTGCTCAGAGCCACCAGTGCAGAAAACGATCACCTGCTATTTGTCTCAGAGCATCTCCCAGTTCAGAGCATCTCCCAGTTCAGAGCATCTCCCAGTTCACCCACACCGTCACCGTTCCACTGCACCTCACCTCCCTCAGCACTCAGTGTGTTTCTATGAACAAGGCATCAGACGTGTGTCAGTTCCCATCAGCCAGTCAGTCATCAGTCCTCCTTACTGGTCGCTGCACGCTGCCTGTGATGGCTCCGCCCACAAACAGACGGGCTGGAAACCTTCCTGTGACCTCAGTGAACGTGGCCGCTGACCCCACCGTGTCAGAACAGTAGATTTAATCTTTTATTACACATTACTGTGGCAGTGAGACACTTTTCTGCCAACACTGTGTGTTTGTGATGCTACTCGGCTGAAGAGGCATCAGCACAGCGTTCAGACACCGAGTAAACCTGGCTTCATCCATCTGCCTTTACAAAAATATATTCCTGTTTATTCAGAGATGAGAAGGCCTGTGTGTGGAGTGAGACCTGAGCGAACACAGTTCTGTCAGGAACGACGACAGACATCGATGTCGGTCGTCATCGCAGGAGGAACAGCCTGAGCTCAGCAGTCCTTCTCTATACTTTATCACCACTAGTGTGTGTTTCTGCAGAAGTTGAGTTTCTGGATTTGGAGCACATTTCCCTTGATGTTTTAATCTGTTTTGTCCTTAGAGGCCACCGTAGATTTAAGAGAAAATATGAATAATAAAGAACGTTTGTGATGCTTTTCTGAACAAAGTCGGACACAAAAAGAAAAAGAAAACAAATAAAATGAGAAGAAGGCCAAAGACTGAGAGCACAGGGACAGTAAAAACCATCAGATCAAATGAATAAATAAATGCATATCAAACATTTGTTAAAGCTTTTTTTAAAAAGACAAGTGAAGGGATTTGGAGGAAGCTGGAGAGAGTGTGTGCCTGCTTTCAGTAGGAAACCAGCAGGGCTTCATCCACAGCTCCCACTGGTCAGGAGGACAGGCCAATACATCACATGATGCATGAAGGAGAGAAACCTGAGTGCACGGCTCCAGCTCAGCACCAGGTGGAGGCTGGCTGGTTAGCATCGTGGAGCATTTAGCAGCTAAAGAGCACCACGGGTCCCTCAGGAGCAGCACAGACTAAAAACAGAGAGACTTTCAGAAAGCTCGACTCCCAGTGAACGATGAGCAAATGTTTGCTAACAAGCTGACCGATGTGCAGGAAGTTGAGTCGACCCTCTGTGTGAACACAGCCGCCTCCTGAAAACAACGAACAGAGCAGGAGGGACAGAACCACCGTGGACGAGCAGACAGAACATACCTTATACTTGGCACTGCTGACCATGAGGCTGCCTTCCCGCAGCCAGCTGACCGAGGGTTTGGGGTTACCGAAGGCCGTGCAGGTCAAAGTGATGCTCCCCCCCTCCTTGGCCTCCACGTACTGAGGTGGTGTGTCTGTGAATGTGGGGGGGGCTGAGGGGTAACAGGGCAGAGACAGAACAAGCAGCCGGGTTAATGAAGGTCCAGCAGAACCAGGCAACGGACAAAGAGACTTCAGCAGTCTGCAGAATCTGTGACATCAATCCTGAAAATGCATCAGCGTCGATCAGTAACATGCGGGACACTTTTGGCTCGTATGAAGTTCACACAGCAGATCACATACAAGTCGCATTGAAGTGGAAACGTGAAGGAAGTCACAAAGAAATCCTCATTGAGCATCAAGTCCTGCAGTGTGAACGTAGCCAATCTGTGGGATTGTTCAGTCAGATAATACGCCGTCATCCTGATTGGTGACATTAAATGTCATGTCGGAGTCACAATCCAAGGCTGTCGCTATGTTAAGGCTGTTTTTATGGGTTCTGTTGGTTTTTCCTACAAACCTGTCTGATAGCAGGTTTAGGATTGTTAAGGGTCGATTATCCAGTCATGACTGTAGTTTTTAACTTGAAGAAGAACTCGTCGCTGGTCTGATGGTCACCAATAAAGGGCTGAATGATTACACTGTGTGATGGGAGCAAACACGTGGCTGTCAGTTAAATTAGGTGAATAAATGCTTTTGGTCAGTATAACTAATGACACAGCTGCGTTGCTGCTGAGTCTGGTTGTGAATGAAACATGTCGCTGTGAGCTGTGAAGCACTGAGGAGCTCCAGCTGCTCAGCGACTTGATGCTTCCTGAGCCATGAACCTGCAGTGGCTGCTAAATAAACACACAACATGTGATGGAGAGATGATCCATGTCATAATACTTGTGGTAGATAATGGTTTGGATGCCAGGGGAGACTGAGAGCTAAGTGGTAACTGTGGGAAAAAGGACTTCTTTGGTTTTTATTACAACAGCTTCCTGTATTGCCTCCTGGATCAATACAGTATTCATCTTTACTCAGAGAAGACTCATCAGGGTTTAAATTGTTCTGGTACCAACTAATGACCCAGCAGACTGTGTAATCACACACATATATTATCTTCTAGTATTTAAAGAGCATGTTTTCTAGATCATGTGTGTTGTTGTTTTCCAGAACATGCATGAACATCCTCTGATCAGACAGTCTGATGTTCCATCTTGGTTTCTGTGTTTCTGTTCAGACATCCGGCTGTTAATGTGTTATTATCTTCATTAGTTGGGTTTCCATCCAAACTTTAACCAAATGTTGACAAAAATTCAAAAGAAGATGCAAAGTGATGCCAGTTCCCATCGACTGGAGCCGCGAGAACGAGATAAACAGCAGGTGGCGCTAATTCTCTAGTCAGATGAAACTAAACCTTCGTAGAAGAAGATGCAAAACAAAACAACCAAACAAAACTTCTACGTGTGCGAGACGCCGCTACATGTGACACGTGTTCCACTGCGCTGAGGTTTGTGTGATCTGAGCATGAAAACACTCCGGCTGCACTACATGCTGCAGCAGGACATCCTGCTGGTTTGTCTCATTGCCACTGACATACTATGTATTAGGACACACTAAATGTCCCTCTGGCATACTGCATAGTCTGGAAACTGGGTGCTGGAGCAGACATAGCCGGGCTGGACCGTTGTTCAGTCGTGTGTCACGTGATGATGCTACATCACGACTTAAATCTGTTACACAATGGATACTGAAAGTTATTACAGATCAAATCACCACATCTGTCAGAAGGATCACAACCAGAGATCTGCCCAGACCCGTCCTCTCTGGCACCCAGCGGGACCACATGATTGAAATGGATCCAGTCAGAACTCATTCCTGGTTCCTGCATGACTCTGAGGAGGGCTACAGTCACACCAGGTCTGGTCCAACCGACTCGTCCACATTTAGTTTTGATGAACATGCCGGCTCTTCACCACCTTCAGCCGTCTGGTGTTTCCATTCAAGCTCTTCCCCCCAGAGGTTATGCACAAAGTGAGAATGTGCGTAAAATCATGTAGATTGAATTTATCTGTTAGGATCCGTCCTATCAGCACCTTCAGGCCCACATTTACATTCAATACAAAAAGCCACTAAAATGAGGCTGGATAAAATCCTGTCTCCCTCCGAGGCTCAGACCCCAGGCTGGATTTAAAGGCATGTTATCTCCTTAGAAAAGAAATCTCCACATTGACACCATTTATCAGAGCCAGAAACCATTAAAGCAGAAAAAGTGATTGGATTTTTAACTTTCTGACAGTCATTGAACTAACCATGTGTGATATGACATTTGACCAAAACCACATGATTCTGTGTCAATTCAAATGACTGGACTTATTGGCTGAAGTGCAGACATGAGACAAGCACAGAATCTAATGAAGAAGTGAAAGTGTCGATGGTATGTAGTCATCGGTTTGTTCCAGTGCTGGTCACACCTGTGGGCACTGAGAGAAACGCTGCACCTGTACAGTCATGAAGAAAAGATCACACACACCTGTAAAGACAAAACCTACACTCAGCTGTTTGGTGACGTAGACGGTTCTGGTCATCAGATTTTCTTCGGTCTCTTAACTTGTTGTGAGTGATTAAAACTGACGACAGCAAATAGGATCCATTTGATCCGCTCATTAGATTCAACCTCAAACAGTACGATGGGAAAGTCTACGGAGCTCAGCTCAGACCTGAACCACTGCCATGATCAGGAGGAAAACACGAGCTATCACTGGCTGCTGAGGGTCACAAAGCAAACATCTGCTTGAACTGCACTCATGTCAAAGGTACAACCAGAAACTTGTAAAAAGCTTGTAGACGGCAACCAAAAGCAGCTACTTTGGGTGAAAATGGCCGAGAGACATTTACCCAAATATTAGCGCTGCTGTATGTATGTTCTAGACCCGACAGATTTTGTCGTATTTCCAGAAGATTCATAATAAATCTACAAATGCATTATTGTTTATTGTGACAAAACTGTTTCTTTGAGTGTTTCCATCCATCATCTCTACACCTTCATCCTCACCAGGGTCATGGGGGGCGGAGCCTATCCCAGCTGACTCAGGGTGAAGGCAGGTTCACCTGGACAGGTAACCAGTCTATCACAGGGCTACACTTAGAGACAGACAACCAAGCACACTCACATTCACACCTACGGACAATTTACAATCACCAATTAACCTCAGCATGTTTCTGGACTGTGGGAGGAAGCCGGAGAACCCGGAGAGAACCCACGCTGCACGGGGAGAACATGGAGACTCCACGCAGGAAGATCCCGGGTGTCCTCACCGGGACGCCAACTGGCGACCTTCTAACTGTGAGGCGCTAATGGTGCTAACCACTGATCCACCTGCAGGGAGTCGCTGGTAACTTAAGATGCATGATCCTGTGTATGTAAACTTTTCTCATGACTGTATACAGATATGTACGTGGACATCTTTCCATTTTTCTAAGTAAATAATGAAGGGATTTCCAGTCCAGTCAAACATGAGCCCAGAGTATAAATGTGACAGGAGCAAAGAAAACCAGAGTTGACATGTAAGCAGACTGTGTGGTTCTGATTCTGACATCGTTGGACACATGCTGATGTATCTGTGAGCTGATGTTATATAACATTTACATATTCTTCAACAGTGAGGAGCTCTTGACAGAAATGTCGTTTGTATTTTTATAGGTTCTTCATTTTATGTCAGAAAATCACTTGTATGAATGGAAACGTCATCATTTTTATAAAAACTGCTGTTTTCCTTCTGGAGGACTTTTGCATCTCAGCCTACCTGCTCTGAAGGAGCATCCAGGTGTGTATAATAGCAGCAGACCGGCCAATCCAACGAGTGACCCAGAGACCATTTAATAATGCATGTCTGTAAACCTTCGCCTGACTTTGCCGTATGGTTGGCTGCACATGTCTCTGTCCACAGCTCTACATCTGTACAGAAGGTAAATGATGGAAGCCAGGTCTCAGTGGGGTGCTGGTCACAAGAAGAAACGCTGAGGAATGAACATGAGGGGCATCTTGGCCCTGTTCCTGCTCTGTGGATTCAGAAAGCATTCAGGCCTCAGCCACTGGACCTCATAGATCTACACTCAATAACCCGTAATGACAAACAGAAAACATGTTTATGACATGTACATCTCTGATATAACTAAATATTCACACACTGTGTCTATAACAGGTCCCACAACTCACCCAGCATGTCAGGACAACAACCATGAAGTCCAAGAAACTCTCTGCAGAGGGTCCAGAGCCATTTCTACAGCTCTGAGCACCGTGGCCTCAATGTAAGGGGAAGGAGTTTAAAACCACCAGGACAGTCCCATCAAACTGCCAAACAACACAGGCTTTGGTCAGGGAGGTGACCAAGAAACCAGTGGTCCCTGTAGCAGAGCTTCAGAGGTCCTCTGCAGAGATGGGACAAAGTGCCAGAAGGACTACCACCTCTGCAGCACTCCATCAATCAGGCCTTCATGCCTCCCTGGATCCCCTCTGACCTCCTGCATGAAGACCAGCGTGGACCTGCACTCCCTCCTCCTGCTCCTGTCCTCATTCCTGTCCCACAATAAGCCTTATTATCATCGTTACCCGTCTCCCTCGGTACACACTAGGAGCTCACTCCTAACGAGAACGTTGTGATGAACATTCTGTCTCATCACTGTGAGACGTGTGTCTGATGAAGACAGGTGTGTGCCGGGTGGAGCAGCTCCTCACCTGCAGCTCTGCACAGCAAAAAACTCCTGTTTGGAAAAAGATTCTAACGGGATGTTTTCATGTTCTCATTAAGGGTTACTAAGTGTAGTTAGATGGAACTAAATGAGATTTCTATCAGTTAAATCTGCAGCACAGTGTATTCAGTCTGACTGTCCTGACATGAGGACACACTGACCAGCAGCTCATGAAAGTCTTCATGTTTGCCGTCCTAAACACTGTCTGCTACACAGGTAGAGCAGGTGTGACACTTCCTGCAGCAGCAGCAGAACTATTTAATAAAAAGAACAACTTGTTCTTGTCCTTCAGGAACACGACGGACTTGAAGCTGGTGAGTTGTTTTATGTGATTTCATTTTTTAAATGCCTCCTTTTCCTTTTTGTGCAAAATTTT